CAGCGTAATCTATTTAATGTATTGGAAATTATGGGCAGGAATGCTTAGTTAGCCTATAATAAGTTGATGTTAAAATTTCGCCTTAAAGGAATCATAATTCATATTCCAAATCCTATCAATTTGGGGTGTAAATGAATTAATTAATAATTTTAAAAATAACGAAAAACATACGTTTTACTCAAAAAAGACTAAAATTACAGGATTGTGTAACGCTTTTGCCAGATCCTGCCTAATTCAGTGATTATTGAATCCCATTCTAAAAATAATAAACTTAGTATTATTTGCGTACGAGAGAAAGACAACAGAAAGAATATGTTTGAAAATAAGAAATTTTTAAAACAATATGCCCTTAGTGCTCCCATAGCACTCTAAACCCTTAAAGCCAATTGGTGATTGGTACTCTATCCTGAAATTTTATTGGCGCGATTGATATGTACCCAATGCTAGAGGTCTCACCCCCCCCCCATTATTAAAAAGTTTTGGTTACGGCCGTGAAAACCATAAATGAGAATAAATGTTGGGTCGGTTATCTAATTTCTATAATATCATAATCAGTCCGCAAAAAAGTTCATTTTCCAAGCTCAACGAAAGTTATTTTCTCACATAGTAAACCAAGATAAATATTTTCAGGAATGCCAAACCTTTGCCCCTTATTTAAAATAAATTTTACGGAACCAATTTGTAAATATTTGCTGTGGTATTATATCTAGATATTGTATTATAATAATTTTTTTATAACAATATAATTAATCATATTTAGAATTATTCTTTTAGCAAATTGGATTTTTAAAAAAATTTTAAATTATTTTAGGTCCTTTTGGAAGCTCTATCCGACACCCTTTATAAAAATTGTCTAAATATGCATTTACAAAATATAGAATATAATTACTATTCAATTTTTAACTGAAATCTTTTTATTTCTCTAGTTTACATTCGACACCCTTAACTTTATAAAGATTGCCTAAATGTGCCTTTTTTTAGTATAGTTTATTATATTCATCAATCTTTACCTGAAATCGATTTTATTTCCTTAATTTATTCATAATCTAAAACATTTAAAAACAATCTTTTTTAAGCATATTTTAATAACTTTCCTTTGTATTAAAACACTTAAATTTAATTTGGTTTTTATTGTCAACAAAAATATTAACTAAAACCACAGCAATTTATATATTTATTTTTTAATGTAAATACATCAATTGGTAGATTTTTTAAACTTTTGTGATATCTCGGTAATTTACAAAATGAATAAGTATCCTAGAAACAATTTTAATACTTTATAGGTGAATTTTTTTGTAAAAATGTTACCAATTTATGATTGTATAATTTCAATTCTTTCGTTAATCAAATTAATTAATCAATTATTTGATTGGTTTAATTTTAAAAGATTGGTTATCGGTTGTTTTGATCATTCTCGTTATTACTAATATTTTAATTTTGTTTATATTGTGATATAAACGAGACAAAACAATCCATATGCATAAAATCTATTTTATTATCCAGTAAAAAGTGCCTCTGTATAAATGATAAGTCTTCACTAATTTTAATAACAAACGCCAAAATTAATTTTAAAGATCATTCCACAATAATGGTAAGTTAAGCAAATATCTTGATAACAGCACCACAAATATTCTAATTCTTTTACTCTCATAGTAAAATTCTTAAATTGGCCTATCCAAAAACATATACTATTTTATAATTATGATAGTTATTATTAAAAAAAAATGAATAAGAAAAAGTTGAACTAGATTATGTAATATACATGCTTCGCTTTAGCACTCCTAAACACTTATTTATTTGCATAATAATCATGAAAGTTAATTTTCAAATTCAATGAATAATTTAACGAAATTTGATATATTATATATATAAAAATATCAATTTCAAATTAATTTTCCGAACAAATTGTTTGTAAGCTATAAAATATTTCTATGGTTACCATTAGTGAATTAGGTTGCAATACTTATTTACTATAAATTAGCTTTGATCTAATGAATAAAATGAATAAGAAATACCTCTCTAGTGAGAGTGATTTAACCCTTTCACTTTCAGGCAGGATAATATAATTTAAACCACCTCTAAAAATATTAAATTTAAACTTAATCCATATATCATCATTATTAAAATATTAAAATTAAATATATTTTTAAGCATTCCAGATTACTACACAAGTTATATAATATTTATATTTGAAACTTAATCAAATATGACATTTATTATTTTTAAATTACCGCTGTTAAAATTTAATAAAATAAGATTTTATGTTTTTAAAGCTATAAAATTATTAATTTTGGTGATTAAAACATTCAATAAAATGGAAGTGCGATCAATGCAATGCTTCCCTTCTACTAAACTTATTTAAAAACTTCGATACCTGCTGGCTGGGGTAAGTAGTATCCATATGATACCACTTATATTTTTTTAAATATTTTTGAAAGATTTAAAGTATGTTTTATGTATATATAGATAAAGATAAAACTTTTTACTATAATGAAAAGAAAAAATCATCAATACGTTTTTTTTGGTGCCGGAAATAAAAAACTATTTAAATAATAAGTCCTGTTAAAGGAAGAAAGAAAGAAAGAAAGAAAGAAAGAAAGAAAGAAAGAAAGAAAGAAAGAAAGAAAGAAAGAAAGAAAGAAAGAAAGAAAGAAAGAAAGAATAAATGATATAAAATTGAGATTCCGAATTCCCATGAATTTCATATCTCAATACGATATTACATAGACGGGTACATCGCCGGATAACATCGTGGCAGCCGGAAATTTCTCCACGCTTGAAATGATGCCGATTGAGATTTTATCGTGGCGGCGCAGCGTGTAAAATTTTTTAAAATGTTTTTTAATTATGTTTATATTATAAATTCTTATTTTTTAAATTTGAATATCGAAATTAATAAAATAGGTATCCTACATATCATTTACAATAAGTTATTCATACACTCCATATTATATATTATTATTTTCATCGTTATTCTAAAGGACCTTCACCTACAGGGTTTAAACCAACCTTTATACAAAACAACTCTCTCTCTAATAATCTTTAAAACTTTTCACTAACAAATGGGTCAAAAGGGTTCAAAAATTAATTTAGGTTTATTATTTGGCAGTGAAATTGAACCAAACATACAAATCAATGAATATGATAGACCAGATATCATTTTTCTAAAAGAAAATATGTAAAAAACTTGGCCATATGAGTTTTTAATTAGAGTACTGCAAATATAAAAATTATTTAAAAATCTTTGAACATTAGATATTAGCGACACTACTTAATTAGTGATTTCAAAATCTTAGAATTCTTTAGAAAATTTAAATTCTTCAATTTGTTTTATTTGTTTCTAACAAAAACCTGCAGGGAAAACATTTACACCACCGGGCACGGATTTAAAAAAACTGTCCAAGGTCCGGATTTTTTTTAAAATTTTTTTTGGCCCGGCCCGAGTTTCATATAGTCAGGCCCGGCCCTGATTTTTTTCAAATATATTATATTTTTAAAATTTTTATAGGAAATAATGGTGATTTGAAATATGGTTTTAAAATATTCGGCCCAGCCCGGGTAAAATAAAAATTTTTTAGGCCCTGCACGGGTATATAAAAAAATTCCTGCAGGTCTCTGGATTCTAATATACAAGAAATATATAACTAAAAAGCATTGCCAGCTCACTTTGAAATTAAATTAATCATTATACTTAACTTATATAAATATAATAAAAATTGTATCGGTATCAAGATACAGTTCACTTCAAAATTTGAATTTTAATAATAGAATCCAAAATTAAGCATTCTGCATAACTTACATAAGTATAATAAAAATTGTAACTATTTATAAAATATATTGATACTTTTTACGATGTTCTGTATCCAGATCTATTTGAAAAGTATCATTTAACAACTCTCTACTATGAAAAGTCACTCTTATATATTTTTTTATTTAAGGTTGGAACAATTTCTCTTTAAAATAGACAACTTTGTTTTATTAGAAAAATATTGCATTTCACATTATATTTCTTTTTATTTTTTTAGAAACCCGAAAAATTTGTCATATTTCAGACCAAGTTAAAGATAGCGCAGTATTTTAATTTAATATAATTGTTGACATCCGATAGGCTAATAAAAAATATAACAGCTGCAAAGTATGAAATGAGATACACAACACATATAATTTGTTTTAAAAAAATGTTGTTTTTATATATTTTTTAATATACATTTTCCTAAACATCAAACAATAAGAATATAAAGTTACGAATTATACATATCACCTAATGTTGTTAAAAAGCCCGATTTTAAAAAACGGCCCAAAATAACATTTAAAGATTTTGCTCATAGCTGGCAGAAATGGTTGGATATCTATTTGTCAAATATCGATGCTTGCATAATATTATTTTCGTTAAAATCTTAACGAGGCCGTTTTGAAAAATGAACCTAAATCAAGCTTTTTAACAACACTATTATTACCAAAATTCGTTACTTATTTTAAACAGTAACGCCGTTATTTACTTTTTCTGAATGAAACAATTACTCTATGGCACTCAATTTAAATGATAGAGATTAGTTCCGATAGTATTTTATTTTAAATGTTTAATTAGGATGTAATTTTTCTTTCGTGTGCATTTCAAGACAATTTTTATTAAAAATAAAATTGAAGGAAATGATTGAAAATCTTTATTAAAACAAAATTGAATAATAACAAAAATATTTTAAAATATTTATTATTTATATAACACTTTATTTTAGAAGATTATCTTTTGATTAAAAAAAAAATAAAAATGATTATTTTATTATTATTTAATAATATTTCAAATACTAATTTTTTTTACTCAGTTATTAAGTTTTTTTTTTTATATTGATAATAAGAAAAAAAAATATTATTTTATAAAATAAAAGATTATTAATTAATTTTTAGCTAACGTTTAATAATAATAATGCTCAGGCCCATACAAAAAATATATAATTTAAAAAAAATATAAAAATTTAAAGATTTACCGATTTTATTAAAAAATGGAATTAAATATTACATTCGTAGATGATTCTGCAACTCACATATTGACTTTTCCCATGAAATTAACGATGATCGTGATGTATTCAATAATCGCGATTTTGGCATTCATAGGTAATATCGGAGTGTGTTTCGTGGTTAAAAATCAAAGAACAGTTTTTCAAACGATCAGAGTGAAACATGCAAACCGTGAAAATAATAAATTTATAACTAACGGAGAAAATAATGAAAATAAAAAATCCTTACTTACCGAAAAAAGCGTTTACAACATAGATAATGGTGGTACCACCAATAATTCACTGCGGTCCAGTCCATTAATCACTCCTAAAAACAAATTGGAGTGCGAAATACCAAGAAAAACTTATAAAAATGGGAATGCTAATTTGAAGTTAGCAATGCATCAAAAACCTGCGATAACTAACCTCTTCATTTTTTATTTATCTTGTGCCGATATTTTGATGGCTCTTCTCTGCATTCCATTTTCGTTTGTGGCCGATCAAATTTTAGGGTATTGGCCTTTCGGCCCGATTATGTGTCCAGTCGTGAGCTACGCGCAAGCCGTGAGTGTCATGATAAGCGCCTACATAATGGTCCTGATAAGTATAGACCGTTATAACGTTATCATGTTTCCATTGAGACCGAAAATGACCCACAGGCAAGCCAATTGGGCTATAGCTTGTATTTACATTTTTGCGTTATTGATACCGCTGCCTATCGCCATTTTATCCCGTTTGGCCTTGGAAGAGGCGCCCATAGTACCCGTGGAACTGCAGACCCCTAACATTTCTCTTAACAAATATAATCACTCTCAAAATCGTGTTTATTACAAATGCGTTGAATCATGGTCATCCCACGTTAGCAAGAAAATATTTAGCGTATCCTTACTTTTACTTCAATACGCGTTTCCTTTGATGATATTGACATTCACGTATTTCAGTATTTGTAAAAAAATTTGGGGTAATGAAACTCCTGGTGAGGCCCATGTCATCAGGGACGAAAAAATTGTAAAGTCAAAAATCAAAGTAAATTCAAACTAACTAACTTTTTGAATCATTCGATTATTAAATTTATTAAAATATTCCTTATATTTTATTATTTAAAATTTTTACAATACAATATAAAATTATAATTTCGTTGTTTTAATTTAACTAATTTTTAAACGTTTTTTGAAATATCACGCTAATTAAGCGCACATTTGTTTGTTTTTTTAAAAAATGTTTAGAAAAGAATTTTAAGTAATTTTTTTTTACTTTTATAGTTAATTATAAACAATCTTTAAACTTTTTATATGTCACGACTCACGAAAAAACATGACCACTTCTCCCCAGTCTCCCCTATCCACCTTTTTTTTATGGTTAAACTATATTTAAAGCCTCAAGCATTTTTATATTAAAAATCTAAACGTTGTGTAGAACCTACATTTAAAAATCAATTCATAATTTTTTTTAAAAAAATACATCTTAAAATTAATTAAATAAAAAAGTGGGAAAAAAGAAAATGGATAAAAATACTCTCGGATAGAAATATATTAATTTTAATTTAAAAAAATTATATGCTCAGAAAAGGGATTTTTTTTAGAAAATAAATTTAATATATATTTATTTTAATCTTAGGTCTCATAAGTAAAAAAATAGAATAAAATATTTGATATGATTTATGATAATCTGGTACAAATCCAGATCCTTGCTGGTTGCTGGTTAATAGCCATTTCTTTAACCCTCAACTAACTGTTGGTGCTGGCTTGTTTCAGAAATAAGGGTTCCTGAAAAATGGGTCCCGCAGAGAATAAAACGTATATGGCTTTGCAAAACCCTAGCAGTTTGCTCATTATGCCACTAAGATGCTATAAAATATCGATGAACAATTTTATTTAAAATTTAGCTACCAAATTTTATTAAACTCCCTTTTTTTTGAAAAATATATATTAACCTTACAATCGTTTCCGTCATCTGGAAATTGAACGCATAAACATGGGATAGTCAAGATGCATTCCTCTTATCCATATTAATAATGGAGTATTTATTGTTAAAATTCAAGCACAAATTTTTATCAAACCATTTTTCAAAATATATATAATATATTAACCCTAACCCCGTATCCACACTGTCTAGCTACCATTACTCTTAAATTTATCTAGCTCTGCTCATGCTAGCTAGCTTTAAAATAAAGGGGTCTTAAAAAATAGTTTTTTTATGAATCGAACCTGAGCCTTAACTTGATATATCTCAATCAACTGACCCACAAGCTGTCATAAAAACAATTTTATATATTAATTATCTACCAAAACAACTAACTTTCATTAAAATAAGTTTTCTTTTATAGTCTACGCAGTAAATAGCGTTACTCCCTTTACTTCACGTTTGTGTTAAGGTTTTCATAAAAATCTGTGTAAAAATTACATACAACTGTTGCACATTATTACTGTTATACCCTGCATTTATAGTTAACGGGGCGGCGAAGTATAAAAATATGATTTACATTTATTTTTGTATACTTCACCACGAATTCGCGCTAACTGTTAAAATGCAAGGTTAAGCGGCTCGATTTACCCGATTTTAAATTAAGAGTTTAGCAAAAATAATATTACTCAAGCCTTGAGATTTTGTTAATAGATGCCCAAACCTTTTCTGTCATATATGAGCGAAAACTACAGGATTGCGCAATATTTTTTTTTGGCTATTGGTCAGCTGTAAAAATCTAGTAAATGTTTTTTTTGGGGGTAAAGATTGACACATATATATGGAAGAAATTAATATTTTTTTAAAAAAACTTTCATCTAGCATTCAAAAAAATTATTAAAATTTAGGTACTTTTTCTGCGGTATCGGGTATTCTTTTGTTTGAGAGAATGTTTGGGGACTTTTCGGACTCCACTATCGTTTTTTAATAACTAAATTGGTAGTAATTTTTATGGTCTATGTTTCTACCACGATCTATGGTCAAGGTTGTTATATAAACATTTTTAAATCAATCTAACCATTTATTATTAATTAGTTCTCTCTCTATATATTATTATATAAACGTAATATATAGTAAGTTGTTAATATAAAATGACCTCTATTTAATCAATTTGCGATGATATAATATTATATAATATTAAATGCTATATTTCAAATAATATTATATTGATAGCCTTAATTTTTTTTTATTTAACTTTATTTAATACCATATAATTACGAAATAATGAAAATCAATTGTTAAAAATAAATAAAAAATTATTACAAAAAGAACTATATATCAAAATATATAAATTAAAAAATTAACAGAAAAAATTATTATTAATTTTAAATATACAGGAAATTTAATTTATACAGAAATTTGTAATTGAGAAAGGAAAAAAATTATTTTTTTTATATATCAGAATCGCGAATATAAATGAGGAAAAAATAAGTTATATATTTCTTAATTTTAGGAAGAAGAAAAAAATTCTAAATAATTAAGGGAATATGAAAAAGATCTAATTCTGGCTGCTCGGGGAATGAACCTATGAAACATATATGCGTTGACGTAAGTAGGCGTCTTCTTTTGGGTCTCCTGATTTCTTAAGGCTCTGCCAAGTTTTTTTAAAATTAGTTTAAGATCTTGGCTTCCAAAGGATGTTAAGGTTGTGATAACTGGTAAGAATTTATATTCATCAGGAATATCCACATATTTGTTTGTTTTAAAATCTTTTGTACCTTTTAAAATGTCCATATTGATGTTGGAGGGTGAGAGTGGGTCAAGAAGAAATCCCACGCTAGAAATCTGCCATTCTCTCAAGGAATTGGTGTAATTTTATCGGGTTGTCTCCCATCAGTAAAAAGACCTGGGGGTTCTAAAGTGACAGGAAGGCCAGCGGAAGGCCCGTTTTATGAGAGCATTGCATCTGTTATGTCTGAATATAGAGGCCATTGTATACATTAAATATAAAATACAATACCCTTTAATATAATATAAATTGACCTTTTTATAAAATATAACATTAATATTAATTGTTTTGGGCAGTATTTAATTTAAATGAGCAGTATAAAAAGCATTTGGTAGGCATTTAATAGATTTGGAAGGTTATTAATTATATTTGAAGTTTTTTTTATTGACTTTTGGGAAACTTTTTATTTTTTTTTAAGTTAGGAAGAATTTCTAATTTATTTTCTTACAATATAAAAAGTCTCACATGCAAAAGGTTCAATCAAATTAGAAAAGTCGGATCAAATAATAAACGGTTTGATTAAAAAGGAAAAATCCCACAAAGTAAAGGAAAATCCCATTGAGGAAGGGGAAATCTTTATTTAAAATATTTTCATAATTGTCGTTTTAATAATCCTAAAATTTCATTTTTAATTATTCTTTATTTTATTTCTTAGTTTTTTTTTTTCTAACTTTTTTGAAATCTTTCTTTATTTTATTTTATGTCAATTCAATTTGTAATTTATTTTTGTCATCTTTTCTTAATTTATTTTTTCATTTTTGATATATCTTTTTCGTCTTCTTATCCCTATAATCTTTAATTTTCTTTTCTTTTCTTTTTAAATTTCTTTATTCTCTTTTTTTGTCAATTTTAATCATTCTTTTTGTTTGTTTTTTACATATCGATCATATTACAATTACTTGAAATAAATTAGGGCCCGTGTTTTGTAAAAATAGTTATCTGCATTCTTTATTTTTTATTAGCCCTGGATTTTTTAAAAAATAAATTTCCGCCTGTTTCAGACATCTAGGTTTGCAGATGTCCTCTAACCATAACTGGATTATATATGATAATTACTAAATATCTATATATCCACTAGTAAAAAATGCAATCTGATCAATTAATAGTATATATAAGTAATGTATATGTGATTTACTTAGCATTTCCTAACCTATGTCAAATTCACAATCGATATTGGAATTTAAACAAAAATAATTATATGGTCTCTCTTTTAGTTTATAATGTGATAACTTTTTAAATAAAAACTAGGTGGACAATTTCTTATTTACTCTTTACAACCTATATTCATTCAATATTTTATGAATACTGCCCAAAACATTGATTTTAATATATGATTTATAATAATTGTATTCATTTTGTATTTTTTAAAGAGACCTAACCAAAACCAACCCCACCCCTATATATTAAACTTTTGCCTTCTTTATTTAAATAATATTTATTTATATAACATTCATTTTTCATTATTACTGCGAAATGAAAATAAGTTCCAACCGATTAATTTTTATATATGAGCTTCATTTTCCCTTGGTGTTTTAAAATAATACGAAACCCCTAGTGTGTTAATACATTATGCCAGCATAACCGAATACTTAATAAAATAAAGAACATATTTTTTTTTTCCAATATATATTTATTTTTTAAATTAATTTTTATAAATTTTGGCTTATTAATTTCCATATTTCCATAATAGTTTTGAAGAATGATTTATTTAATATGGTGAACCATTTAAATAACCAGGGGCGGACTGGCGACGTTACGGCCTCGTGGGCATTTTTTTATAGCAGCCTCATTTTTATGGGGGCTTCGCCCCCATACCCTCTATTTTGAGGCCCGGGTTCCCTTAAATGGCTTCTTTAAATTATATATTTTTATTACTTGTTATTTTTAGGTTCAAACAATTTACATTTTAAAAAAGAAAAGAATAATAACACGATAATCATATATTTTATTTTAAAAAATTGCACATCCAAAATCATATTCATTGAACACATAGTAATTGATATTTTATGCATTCAAATATAGTAAACGACATGATAATTCTTCTCAGGGAATGTTATATTCAAATAATAGATATCATTAAAAATAAATAAATGATAAGAGAAAATAATGTGAACAAAATAATTTTTTTCCTACCGGCCTCTTTTTTGATATTTTCCTCTCATCGGCCTCAAAATCGACATTTTCTCGCGGCCTCGTGGGCAAAATGCCCACTGGATCTTATGGCCAGTCCGCCCCTGTAAATAACTTATTTTCCAAAATATTAATTATATTTTATATTATTAATAAATATTCTTTTCTAAATTGGGTCTTTAATCAATTTTTTTTTAATAAAAAA